AGATCAGACTGAAGCTGGTGTGTATTATTAACAATCAGATCATATTTTCATGTATTGATTGATTGTCTCAGCCTTCAGTCATCAGCAGGATCACAGAGCAGACGCATCAGAGAGGCCGTATTGTTTCACCGCAGCTGCAGCTTCTGTTCGCTGCACATTAGAGGCCGTATTGTCTGCATGTTCTCGTTCATGTTTTACAGCGTGTTGGCAGTCTGCAGCGTGGATCTGAGTCGTCTTCCTCATTAGCAGGATTACAGCGAGCGTTGAGATTAGAGTCAGAGAGCAGCAGCAGAGATCATCTGTCTGCTTTAACCTGCACAAGATCTGTTCGCAGACCCACTGTCACATCACAGAATGTTTCTGTGATCTCCATCAGTGATCTGAACGCTACGTCACAGCTCAAACAATCCGTCAAGCAGTTAGTCGACTGAATCAGTTTAGAAGAAAAACCTTCAAACACTGGCTCTGAAATGGGAAGATTTAAATAATCAGCAACTATTTAAATAATCAGTTCAGTTCATGTTTTGAGATAGTAAACTGAGTTAAAAGGGGGTTCAGTGGGACATTCAGGGTAACAGGAGGGTTGGAAATTAACTTTCTGTCCACATGCATGTCAGAGCAGTTAGAGTGTCCTCAGCTTTTATAATGCAGTGTGTTTGTTTTCGAGTCAAACATAATACATTTAACATTTAAAGGAAGGAAACGGCATTCTGATGTGTAAATTCTGCAAAATTTTATGAGATTATGTTAAAAAAGTGTACCTGACAGAGGGCAAATTTGTGCTTGAAATGTTTTAAATTTTGAATTTAGTTCAACAGAATTTTACCAGGGTGAAACTGAAATGGTTAGGATTTTGTTTCTCAGTTGTGAGGATTTGCTGCCTCTCTTTTTTGTGCATTATGGGGAAGGAATCACCACAGGACCCACGATACGGTATTTTCTTTTTTACAATGATTAGGTCACGATATGATATTTTGCGATATTAAATGTATTGCGATAAAATATATTGCGATATATCACGATTTATTACCTATTTTTCCAACTGCAAATTATTTCAACAAAGGAAAACTTTGTCGACATCAGTTTGACCTCCTCAGATAAAGTTTTCAGTCTGTTCATCGACTTTGATCATTTTTATTGCAGCTAAATGTGACACAGAGCAGACAGACTGACCAGCACCGTCATAACAACTACATACACCTGTCAGACGGAACTGTGGGCAGATTGAATGCCCTCTGGGAGGACAGATTTTGTTTTTTAAATATCATAGATAAGCAAATGTACACAGTGTGATAACTGTCAGTTTTTATATCATGTTATACCTTGAAACGAGTCTTTTGCTGCAACCCTGAATATTAGACTGATTAAATTCCAGTTTGAAGGCGTCACTTTGGGCTCTGAGAAGTTGGGATTGTTCGCACAGTTTCAAATGAATTAATCATAATAATAATTGGCAGGTTACGTGATAATGAACAAAGTGTTAGTTGCAGCAGATGTGACACGGATGAAGAGGTAACACAAGAATTAACACTGCGATGTCAGAAAAGAACTGGGAGCAATGCACTCTTTGGTTTAAACCTGCAAAACATTTTTTTAAGTGGAGCATGTTGTCCGTTAAATATCGCTGAGTCATGCTTCGTCCTCCTGATAAGTCGAACTCGATTGTTTAGTTGTGGCACTGCTTCTGACTGAAGTAGATGCCGACACAGCGTTGGAAGGAAAAGTCCAACACTTATTATCAGTCACTGCTCAGATAGCTGTCCGCTGTGACCTCTGACCTTTGCCCCTGCTGTGTTGTTGCTGATGTCATGTTGCCATGAAAGGAGGTGAAGCTGCAGAGAGACAGAGACAGAGGTGGAGACACTGAGGATTACCATCAGTCTATATTAAAACCTTCATCCTCCTTAGACTGAGTCAACCTGCAGGACCTGCGGCCTCCAGACTGGAACACCGTGGCCTGGATCAGTCCACTCAGAGGCTGTTTCAGTGCAGACGTACGCTCTGTGGCCACTTTATTAGGTACACCTGTACAATCTAATGCAGCCCCAAAGCTCAGCAATAAATCCTCATTTTTTTAAAGATATTTTTTGATAGGACAGACACAGCATGAAGTGGGACAACATGCAGCAAAGGGCTGTGGGCTGGAATCAAACCTGCAGCCGCTGTGGCAAGGACACAGCCTTTATACACGGGGCGCACCAGCAATAAATTCTGTAGCATTGTCAGAGAGGTCTTAATTTAACTACATGTGTACTACAGAGGTCGTAGTTAGCAGTGCATCATACTGAGAGGTGCATGAGAAGGGAAGAATATTAGAATATTAGCACTCAGACCTGTGCAGGAAACATATATTTGATTCAACACCTCTCAGAAACAAACACAGCTCATTATAAACTGTTTGAGTTCTTGGTTTGTTGGTTGTTTAAAGATGTCGACATGGGATGGGCGTCGACAGATTAGAGCTGCAATGATCATTCAACGAATCAATCAACAGCAGAGATGCATAATATTGGACGTTTTTGCTGATATCCAGTAACTAACAACTGATTTGGCCGATAACCGATATCAATATACCAATTTTTTCCTCACCTACTTTCAGTGACCATCAGGTCTCTTCTGTAGATGAATTAACTTCATATTATACATCCAGACTCTGATGGTGACGGCCCACCAGCAGATGGAGACATGAAATACTTTTCGGGAAATGTAATATTCAGTCATTGTGCAAAATAGAAAAAGCAAGTTGGCCGATTCTGATTTGGTTCATTTTAAAGCTGATATCTAGCCTGGAAATCCAGACTCAAATCTAGAAAGATTTTGAGTCTGGCCCTCACCGATACACCCTTCCTACCCAAGGGGTGGCACTAACTGAGGCATATTAAATGTCGCTGCACACAATTGGACAGCATGATGGCCAATCACCAGCTGCCATCTTGGCTGTTTACTTTCCGCCTTCTACGGCGCAGCACTGTCTTCATCACGTTACGCCCGCCCAGAGCCCGCCTCTGTCAGATAGACTGATCTGATTGGTCCGATAGGTGATTCAATGGGCTCTGGTCATCAGGGCCAGATCCCCCTGCAGAGCAAATTAGAATTTGCTAGGGGCGGGGCATCTCCAGGTTTCCAGGTTAGCCGATATTGGCCGATACCAGTGACGCACCCATATTATCGTGCATCCCTAATCCACAGAACGTTAATTAAAACTTATCAATTATTCATTTCAGTCATTTTTCAAGCAAAAATTGCCGAACATTATCTGGTTCCCGCTTCTCAAATGTGAGACTTGGCTGTTAGCTGAATATATTCACGTCTGGACTGTAAAAAAAAAGCAAAATGAGGCTTCGCTGTGGACTTTTTCCACATATTTCACAGACAAAATGAGAAAAGCATCTGCAGATTAATCAGTAAAGAAAATAATTGTTCATTTTAAGTAGGTGACTAAATCCCAAGATTCATCACGATACAATATTATATTGATTCTTTGGATATGATATCTGCTGATGTCACATAGTCGGCCATGATACAATTTTGATTTGATTCAGTACAGACTCAGGACTACGATCAGTATGAGACAATATCAATAAATATCCTCGCTGTCTTTTTTCACCTCTGCACTGGTGATATCTCAAGAACGCCCCAAGGGAATGTCTAAAATTTGGCACAAACGTCCACTTGGACTGACGAATAAACTGATTAGAGTTATGTGGTCAAAGGACAGTGACCTCACTCATTATGACAGAACTTCACACAAATGTTTCACAGGATGAAAGAAAGACGCGATGACATTTAATATCTAAAAGGTCGAGGGGTTAACTTCACTGTGACGTCATAATGTTCTTCATAAAACACTTTCCTGTCCATTATTCGACGTCATGTCTCTGTTGAAAATTTGACAATTAAAATATAAGAACTAGGTACAATATATCTGACTTTAAATTGAAGAACTGAACGGTTTTGTGCAGGAATGTACAAAGTAAATAAATCGTTAGTTGCAGCCTCAGTTCTTACAGATAGCACTGATGTGATCTGACTGTAGGTCACAGCTTAACCCACTCTGATTATTTAAATAGATTATTTTAAGCTTGTAGAAATAGATAATCATTTGCTTGATCAGTGTGAGCGCTGCTGCTGGATGTGGAGAAGTGTCAGCCGGAGCACTGGAGGTTGTCCGAGTTCATGATTAACTGTGATTGATGCTTTCAGGGATTTAAGATGTGGTGCGCTGGCACATCTTTAAAATAACTGTTATATATGGAGGGCGATAAAGGCCACAAGCGTCCGTCTCTGTTGAGTCTAAACATATCTAATCTAACTCTGATCTCTCTGTGAAAACACTTTAGTCCGTCGGAGGGATTCAGACCACTTTCGAGTATTTTGGGAGCTTGACAAGCATCCTGATATGTGCGTTACGTAACGAGCTCTTTTGGTGGTGGTCGTGTCATGTGATATTTGATCTGCTGAGGGGAGGCATCAACACATCTTGTACTCTGAAAGGTTGATACTCTATCATGTTGTCAAACCTGGCAACCTCGCTGTGAGGACAAGACTTGAGCAGATACCTGCGGTGCTAACGGCTGCTGAGACCACAGTGTCTCTTGTTTTAGTGTAAATGACGCAGCCAGGCTAAGAGTTTCCCCCTGCCTCCAGTCTTTGTGCTAAGCTAGGCTAAACACTGGGTTTAAGGAACTGAAGAGTGAGAGGCTGAACAATACACACAGAGACAAGACATGTAAAAACATTCACAGTTGCAGCTTCTCACATGTGATTATTTACTCCTTTTCTGTTTTATATAATAATACAATTGAACATCTTTGGATTTTCACTGTTGATGACAGAAACAAACTGCAGACGCCATGTTGGGCTGCACGCTGTAACTTGTGATGCTGGATTTTTCTCAGTACTGGACACATGGAAATTAAACTGATGTTCATCTTTTCACCTGAATAAAAATAATCAGAAAAATGAAACTTAACTTCCGTCTCTCTTTTATTAATTTTCAGGCAAAGCGGTCGAGCAGGTTTACTCTCCAGGTCACAGTGGCTCTCAGACAACGTCGCCTGTCACACTGCCGCGACTTCGCAACAACAACCACCATCCCCTGACGGTACGCACACTCACTCACACCTTTCTTTCTAATTTACCGCATTAATGATGTCATTGGCGGCTTTACAACCCCCCAAATGTGGCGGTAACAGTGTGAACTCTAATCATTAAAAGAACACACACATGGTAACAGATGTGGTGGTGATCAACACTTTGTGTTGAACCTTGATACCTTTACTGTGAGCGCAGGCTGACATGTGTCAGCAGCATCACGTATGAACAACTGTCAAATTAGTCGGTATATTTTTAAGTTCTTGATTTGACATGACAAAAAAGCACATTAAAACATTCTTATATTTCCTCCAAACCTTGAGAACAACAGTACTGTTTTGTAATTTATACCACTATGGAAAGATTTCATGCCCGAGGCATCACTGCAATAATTATGCAACACAGAGCGGAAATCACACACACAGTGAAGTGGAACTACAGTTCCAGCTGGACGAGGACATCTAACTGGCCTACTGTCCTTGTCCCAGTATACAAGCACGGGAGGGGAATCCATTTATTGAGCCAAGTATGTGCGACTCCTCTACGATAGGTGGAGATATGCCCCCTTTCAGCTTGTTAGTATTGGACCTTTTTCCTGTTGACCTATTACGTCACAGACCAAACAATGGACAAACAAGTTAGCTACGGTTAGCTAGCAGCTA